TACATATTCTTGGAAAAGTGAATAAAAAAATAGAAAAAATGTCTCATTATCATAATTCACAATTAAATATTTTTTTTCTACTATTTAAAAGGTAACAATCTGTCATGGATATACATATTATATCACTATATACATTGAATTATTCATATAAATTTAAACCGCGGTTTAAAGGTAAAGATAAGAAACTTGTTTAAAATTGTTCACTGACTTTCAAAGAAACTTTAAATCTTACTTGAAAGCTTTTGGTTCACTCTTTACATAAGAATAATGTAGCTTTTTAAAATTTCCGCAAAGTAGTTTCATTTTTGTGTTGAGTACTTTATGTATATCTGTATTTTGTGCTAAATTCAAATTTTTTTTTATTTACTTGAAAAAGAAATGCCAAAACAGTATTGAAAAGTTTTTAGGAAAAAAAAACGTGAAATATTATAAAAGCAGTGAAAAGATGATTCTAAAGTTCTAAATGTTCAAATAAATGAAACTTATTTATTTCTTCATGAAATTAAAATTTTTATTACGATAATTTAGAATCAGTGTCAAAATGATTAATTAAAAAATTTGTATATATGTTTAGAAATTTTTTAATAAATCGGTTTGATTTTATAAAAAAAAAATTAAAGTTTTTGATTTCTGTTGCAATTGGTAATTTAACGTCTGACTGTAGCTTGATAATTACTACTGATATTAAGATATTAATTAACCTATTTTCTGAGAAAAAGAATTTTTTCAAAATAAGAAATTCGTGCTTCTGATAATACGAACAATAAGTAATGTTAAAATAAAATTTTAAACAAATTAAAAGGGAATAATTTCTTGTCTGACTAGAACTAGAATTTACTACTTAGACTTGAATTTTAAGAATTTAAAACTTTGTCTGATCAAATAATTATTTTGTACTCTTGCTGTTAAAGGCAAACATTTTTAATTTCATGTCTGACCAAAACTGACTTGTACTACTGAAACATAATTTACATAAATTAGAATTGTCTACATCTGATACTATTAACTATTAATACTAAAATAAACGATATTAATATTAAAAAGAATAAAAAGAATTATCACCTTTCTGTCTGACTAAAACTGGTAATTACTACTGAGATTTAAGTTTTAAGAATTTAATACTCCTACTGTCATATTTGCAACAAATTTTAAATATTCGTCTGACTAAAACTAACTTGCACTACTAAAATAGTATTTACTAAAAATAAAAAAAAGACGAATCGGAAAAATATAATTTTTATATTTATTTATATCTTTATACTAAAATAAATGATATTGCTAACTTTCAGTAGTACTCCGATAGTACTCCAACAGTCATATTTAAACAATCTTTTAATTAACCAAGAAACAAAAAATTGGTCAAAAATTATTCAAGTTATGAATTTTTTTCGAACTTTTTTCCAAATTTTCGTTTTTCTAATACGGATGGGTGGGGACGCTGGCTATCAAAAATTTTTTTTAAAAATTCATATTCGTCCAATGAAAAGAAGCATCAATCCCTCTTTAATTTGCGACCAAGGAACAAAAAATTGGTCAAAAATTTGTCAAGTTATGAATTTTTTTTTAACTTTTAGTCTGACTAAAACTAACTTTTACTACTGAAGTTTTACTACTGAACTTTTACTACTACAAAAAATTAAAAATGTCAAATTATATTATCAAATTTCTTATATTTGTTTACATTTTTATACTAAAATAAAAAATATTGCAATTAAAAAAAATTATTTACTTTCAGTCTGACTAAAACTGACAATTACTACTGAGACTGAAATGTATAAAAATTTAGACTTCTATTAAGATCAATCTTCGACAGATCATTAATATATTTTCCTACTGCTATCGAATTTTGCCAAATTGAAAACTTCCCGTCTGACCAATACTGACTTCTACATAATTTACAAAAAATTAAGAAAGCCTGTCGGTAACTACCAGTCACCTATTGTTATCAATAAATAAAACTGCCATCAATCACTAAAAATAGAGCAATAATTTGCAAGTCTGACTAAAACCTACTTTATTAAAATTTGAAAAATTTATTACCTTGTCTGACTGGAATATTCTTTCACTACTGCCATACTAATTGTGAGTGGAGCTCATTCTGTCTGACTGAAATTGACCTTTACTACTAATAGCAAAGCTCTACAGATGTATGGCAGTAAATTATCTAAATTGAATTCTCCTTAATAGGGGGAAGGGAGTGATAATAATAATGCTACAAGGGAATGATGGTATTATGCATACATCTTCTTAATCCTTATTGTCGGGAAAGAAATTTAAAATATTTTAAAATATGCTTTCGTATTACTCTAATGGCAACTTGCTTATTACTACTATATACTAATTAAATAATAAGTAATTACTATTTAATTACTAATAATTATTATTTACTGCTTTCCCTCTCTCTCTCTTTCTCTTTAAATTAAAATTAGTAAAAATTTTTACTAACTTGAATTAAGGACTTACTTTTTGCTTTTAAATTAGTAAACTTTACTACAGATCGTAAATAATAGTAATAAAACTAAGAAATAGTAATAAAATTAATAAATAAATAATAGTAATAAATAGTAATTTCTAATAATTTATTAATAACATTCACTAATTCAAAAGCAAAAAGTCAGTAACTAATTCAAATTTAGAGAGCTGTTAATAATTATTTAATAATAATTAGAATTTACTGATAATTTTTATTGACTAAAAATTTTTCATATATTCTTACTGTTACCAATAATTATTAGTTATTGCATTTTAAACTTCCTCTTTATTTCTAAGTGATACCACTTTACACAAATTATTTCTATCGAACACAGACTCCCCTAAAGCACATTTATATATACATAAGGTCTAGATATTCCCGAGAGATATTAATATGAAACATCCGCTTTATTCTATTAATAAAATATAACGAAAGTAAATTCTCCAATCACTAGAATGGCGAAAATGTTAATTAAAATTACAATAATTTTTAACTCCCTTGCATATAAATATAAAATTATTTTCAATATACTTTCATTATTATTGACCATTATTGATCAGTATAAAATTATTAATAAAATTTTTTTTTGTAAATTAAAAAACATTATTATTAAGAAGAAAACACACCAAATTTTTAAGATGTTGAAGTAATAGCAAATATTTGAATTAATATTAATATTTCAATTATTATGTTTAATGGAAATAATAATTAATTTAATTATTTATGAGTTATAAATTGAGATCATATTTCAATATACATTAACTTGCAGTTGCATTTAATTACCATAAATGAAAGTGCATAATAGATATCCTTGCTAATTAACCCATGAAATTAAGAACTTTTTTTAAAAAAATACTATAGTCAATGAGAAAAAATAATTACCAACAAATAAAAAATTTTTTTTTCTCAATTTTTTTTTTCTTGGACGAAATAGAAAAATGTAAAATGGGTCAAAATTGATGATCACACAAAAGTAATCATTTATGAGTGCAAAACTTTTTCAGATAGATTCTACTGTCAAAAAAATTGAATTTCCAAAGTTATATTACACAGCACGTATTTAGAAAAAAAGTGTTAAAAAAACAATTTTTTTTACGTGCAAGCAAAAATTGTTATATCCGCGATTTTTCAAAATTCGACATTTACGAAGAGTTAAAAATAAAACTATGAAATACCTGAAAGAGAAATATAAATTTTTTAGAATTAATGAATTTTGATTTCTAATTAATGAAAATATGTCCAAAAAAGAAATATAATGTTCTTATACGCTGAAAAAAAATGTATTTGATTCAAATAAACGATTACTGTCTTCGATTAAATATTTATTTGCATCAATTTATTTTTATTCAAGTCGGTTAAATTGGTATTTACCTTAAGGCTTTACATAGTAATTTTTTGAGATAAGTTCAATGGTCAGGAAATATTTTGACATTTTTTTGAATTTTTTTTTTTCTTAAAAACTGATAGATTTTTAAATTTAAATGTAATTTTGCAGAAAATATTTTTTGTAACCACAAAAAAATTGACGAATCAGAAAAATTAACTTTTTTCATTTTTGAAGCATGTTTTTTAAAAAGGAAAAATTATTTTTAGAGTGAAAATGCTACAAAAAATTCTATTGTTATTCAATTTTTTTATTTTTAAATTCATTTATTTATTTTTCTACCTAATCAATTTCAAATCATATTTTTTTAAAATAAAAAATGTAAAATAGAAGAAAATTATGATTTGAAATTAATTAGAAAAATAAACAAATGATCTTCCATATAAAAAAATTGAATAACAATGTTTTTTTTAGTATTTTCAACCTAAAAACAATGTTTTTTTCAAAAAAATGCATCAAAAATAGTAGAAATCAATTTTTTCATTCGGAAATTTCTTTTTTTGGATAGTAAATCATATTTTCTGCAAATAATTACGAATGGATTTTAAAATCTATCAATTTTTAAGAAAAATAAAAATTCAAAAAGGGTCAAAGTATTTTCTGACCATTAAATTTCTCTCAAAAAATTACAATAAAAATAATTTTATGGAAGATTTAAATTATTTTCTCATGCGGGTAAAAAGGAAGTCAAAATCTGCCAATAAATATTTATTTCTATCAAATAATTTTTATTTCAGTCAATTAAATAGTATTTATACTTTAGACACTAAAATTATTGCTTCAACTATATAATTTATTTGATTTAAATAAAAATTTGAATATAATAATTATTTACTATTAATTATAAATTTAATTGTAAAATTAATTATTAATTTAATTATAAGTTTATAATTTATAATTATTTTTAATAAAAAAATGATTAAATTAAATATTCATTTAATAATAGACAACTAATCGTTTGTTTGAATCAAATAAATTTTTTCCATTGTACCGTTGACAAAAAAAAATAAATAAAAACCGCAAAAAAATAAAATCTGAAAAAATATCAGATTGCGAGAAAAAAAATTTCAACAAGAAAAACCTATTTGAAAATATCATTGCATAATAATGAAGTTTTATTATATTTTCTATTCTTGAAAACAGGTGGCGTGGATAAAGGCGGACACTAAGGCAATTTTAGCGATTCACGAACACGTTATTACGAACAATGCTCGACTTTCTGTGACGCACAGTGATTCACATACGTGGACATTGAGCATTAAAGAAGCACGTCGAGAGGATCGTGGAGTGTACATGTGCCAGGTGAACACAGATCCCATGAAAAGCCAGGTGAGTCTTGAATTGACGTTATAACATTTTTTTTTTACCCTCGTTTATCTCGGCTTCGTGAAAAAAAAGAGAAGAAAATCCGATAGTGTCAGTGAAAACGAAATAGCTTCGTCACCACTCACGGATATTTATGGGCGAGGGAAACCGTACTTTTCCACCAGAAAAATGAAAAGATCCCACCAACCTCCCCCCAACAATTCTGCATTACCATTTTATTCCGAATACAACGTCAAAGCTCTCTAATTCCTTTATCTCAATGAATAGAATTGCTTTATATTTTTATTATTTAAATATAGTAAATTTTTGTTATTCATTATATTTACCTATTTTATTGAATATTATATTTATTAACATATGTAATATTTAATATTCGATTTTGTAAAAAATAATTCAATTTTAAATTTAAACCAATATCTCTGTAAATTTGAATTAGTAAAAATGTTCACTAAGTGAAATTAGTGACTCACTTTTTTTCTATTGAATTTGTTAGTTTTACTAATAAATAGTATTTTTTACTAATGTATTAGCAAAATTTAAATTTTAAAATAAATTAGTAAATAATAAATTAGTAAAAATGACTAATTTAAAAGCAAAAAGTGAGTCACTAATTCAAATTCGTTGAAAGTCGTTATTGAGTAATAAAGAGTTTTTTAATTATTTAATCAGTTACTAAAATTCGTTAATTCCACTTTTCAATTCAATTACTTTTTGAATTTTTAAGTAAAATTATTGGCTAAAAAATTTATAAATAATAATAAAAAATTAAAATTCAATTATAAAAAAAATTACAAACGCAATTCTTTAGGAATTTAATTATTTTATGAATTTTACAGTAAAATTATTAACTAAATAATTTATAGACAATAATGTCATAAATGTTCTTTAAAAATTGAATTTGAATTCAATTTAAATTAAATATAATTCCATATTTTGTAAAGTTTAATTATAATTTTCAAAAATATGAAAATATTCAAGGTTTTATGTATCAAAATCCAGAATAATTTCAAAGTTCATAAAGTGAACAAAAATTAAAATTAAATTATTTATAATAATTGCAAACGCAACTCTAAAAATCCAATTATTTTTTGAATTTTTAAGTAAACTTATTCACTAAATATTTTATAAATATTAAATAATAATTTTAAAAAAATTCTTTAAAAATTAAATTATTTGAAATGTATTCAACTTCATATATTGTGAAGTTGCAAAAACGCAACTCTTTAAGACTTCAGTTATTTTTTTAATTTTCTATTTAAAATTATACACGAAATACAATTTACAAATATTAATTTCATGAAAATTCTTCAAAAATTGAATAAAAAATAAATTCAATTTTATGTTTTGTAAAGTTTAAATCTTATTGTCAAAAATATAACTAAATATAAAAATATAATTAAAATTCAATTATTTATAAAAACTATAAACGCAATTCTTTGAGAATTGAATAATTTTATGAATTTTACAGTAAAATTATTAACTAAATAATTTATAGACAATAATTTCTTAAATGTTCCTTAAGAATTGAATTTAAATTCAATTCCATATTTTGTAAAGTTTAATTATAATTATCAAATAAAAAATAAATAAATATTCAAGGTTTCATATTAAAATCAGGAATGATTTCAAAGATTATAAAGTAAAGAAAAATTCAATTATTTATAATAATTGGAAACGCAACTCTTTAAAAATTTAATTATTTTTTGAATTTTTAAGTAAAATTTCTAGACAAGCAATTTATAATTAGTAATTTGCAGAAACTTCTTAAAAAATTGAATTTCAAATAAATTCAATTTCATATTTTATAAAGCTATATTATCATTATAAAAAATAGAAAAACAGTTCAAAGTTTTTTATTAAAATGTTAATTTCAAAGTTTAATTTTAATAAAATTTAACAAAAATTGAAATTCAATTATTTATTAAAATAGGAAATGCAAATCTTCAAAAATTCTATTATTTTTTTAATTTTTGAGTAAAATTATTCGCTAAAGAATTTAAAAAATAATAATTTTGTGGAACTTTTTCAAGAATTAAATTTAAAATAAATTAAATTTTAAATTTCATATTACTTTCAAAAATGTAAAAACAATTCAAGTGTTTGTATTAAAATTCGAGGTAATTTTGAAGTTTTTAAGGTGAATAAAAATTTAAATTCAACTATTTATAAAAATTTCAAATGCAACTATTCAAAAATTTAATTAATATTAAAACTTTTATGTAAAATTATTTGCTAAATAATTATGAATAACTTTTATGAGAATTTTTCAAAAATCAAATTATGTAAAATAAATTGAATTTCATATTCTGTAAAGTTCAATTTTTGTTATAAATAGAAAAATTTAAGGTTTTATTGTAAATTCATAGAAGCTTTACATTTTATAAGGTAAACAAAAAAAATTGTAGAAGAATTAAATGTTTCTAAATTTTTTAAGCTTGCTGACCACAAAAACCAAGAAAATGTATATTTTTTAATCATTTTATATTTTTATACACTTTCTTTATTTATTTATTAATTCTTCTATTTATTTAATTTATCATAATTTTCTTTTTTTTTTATTTATTTATTAATTTCTTTATTTATAAATTAAGTCATTTCATCAAAAAATTAGATATAGAACATATTTTCTAATAAACATATTGTACTCTTAATATCAAAGAGAACATGCCAAAATTATAGAGGTCAATTTAGAATATTTAATTTAAATTTGAATGTTTAATAAATGCAAGCACCATCTATTTCGAAATATCTATCGCTGTAAAATTCCTATACATTTACAATTAAATATTTCAATTGAAAGCATCCCGAATTTCATTTTATCAAATAAAAAATGTTTTAATTTACTTTCAAATTCCTCAAATGTTTCATTATTCTAAATTCTTTGCAAAATTGATAAAATTGAAACGATTTTTATTCTTTTACATGATAGTTTCTCCGTTTATAAAATATTAAATTCTCCGATCAATAGTTAAAAATAAAGAAAATAAAAATCATTTCATATTTATTTCTTTTTGTAAATTTTTAATTGTCAAACTTCAAAGCCAAAATAAGTTTATAAAGACAATGCTAAATTTCAAAAAATGTAAAATTAATAAATTTAGAAGATATTTTTGACCAAATACATCTTCCAAATTAAATAATAAATCAAAAAACTTATTCTTTTATAAAATTAATGAATTGTTTATTTAATGATACAAATTTAAATTAGTAAAAATGTTTTTAAATAAGAATTAGGAGATTTATTACTTTAAAAACAAAAAGTCAGTCACTAATTAAATTTTGGAGAACTTCTTTAAAAGAAAACTAATAAAAAATATCGTCCTAGTTGAGAGACTTATTTTCACTGAAATATTTTTCTAATAGAGAAAAATTGTAATTATAATGAATGATTAAAAATAATAAAGAATGCTATCGTTATTCGTCTTGTTAAATTTTCGTGAGATCTAAATTTTAGCTTTTAACCCGAGAATGTGACGTTGCGTTTTGCAGAGCGCATTTCTGGAGGTGGTAATCCCACCGGACATAATTTACGAAGAGACGTCTGGGGATTTGATGATACCGGAAGGTGGTTCTGCGAAGCTGGTTTGTAAGGCTCGCGGTTTCCCAAAGCCAGACATCGCTTGGCGACGCGAGGACAAGAACAACATAACGTCAAGATCCAGCCACACTGGTCTAAAAACTAAAGGTAAAGAATTAACTGACCTTTATATTAAGTATGCGAAGAAACCAACTTTATTCTTTTTCAATGCGAAAAAGGAAAAACAATTTACCCAAAAGAAATTAATCAAATTTTTCCATCAACTCTTTTCTCTTTCTTAATTATAATTAATTATAATTATAATTAATTATAATTAGGTATATATATATACTTAAAGTTTCCACAAAATATTTAATTTTGTATTTCCCTGACTTTTCCCTGATTTCCATATATGCAAAATTTTCACTTTTTCCCTGAGCTTAAAGAATTTTATGATTAACTCTAAAAATTATTTGATACTCAAAAAAGTTTTCTATTACATTTATTAACGAATTGTTTTAATTGTGAAATTATTCGAAAACAACAATAAATTCTTTTTTAAATAAATATTTTATAAATTTCTGTATAATTCTTTTCTCTGTCTGACTAAAACAATATTTTCTACTTGAATATAATTGTTATTGTAAGTCACTATTTTTTATCTAAATTATATTTTTGCCTTTAAGTGTGTATTTTGTCTGACTAAAACTAGTTTTACTACTAAGAAAATCATTTATGTAATTTCATTCTATTTATTTATTTTTACAGTTCATTTTGTCTGACTAAAACTAGTTTTTCTACTGAGAAAATTATTTTTTTAATTTGATTCAATTTATTTCTTTTAAAAATGCATTTTGTCTGACTAAAAATAGATTTTCTACTATAAAGTCAATTTTTTGAAATAAAATTGTCTTTTTTTTAATTTTAATGAGTAGGTATTTCGTCTGACTAAAACTAGATTTTCTACTAAAAAATTAATTTTTGTTTATCTAAACTGACTTTTTTACTTTCAAAGTTTATTCTGCGACTAAAAATTAATTTATTACTTAAAAATTAATTAAAAAAAATTTAAGTAAAATTTTTTTACAACTAAACTACTTTTTTATATTCAATATTTACTGTCTGACAATAACTAGTTAAACAAAAATTAATTTTTCAATAGAAAATCTGAGTAAAAAATTTTTTACTCCTTTAAAGTAAAAAAAGTCAGTTAAGATAAACGAAAATTTATTTTTAAGTAGAAACTCTAGTTATAGTCAAACAAACTATTTTTTAAAAGCAAAAAAAAGACATTTTAATTACAAAAATTATTTTTTTAGTAGAAAAAGTAGTTTTAGTCAGACAAAATACACACTTAAAGACAAAAACATAATTATTTTTTTATAATTTTAAAAATAATTTTTATAATAATTTTTTTCATAATTTTTTTTTTATAATCTTTATTTTGTTTTAGATAAACAAAAATTAATTTTTTAGTAGAAAATCTAAACTGTCTTTTTTACTTTTAAAGTTTATTCTGAGACTAAAAAAATCTGTCTGACAATAACTAGATATTCTACAAACAAGGTAATTATTTTTTATTTAAATTATATTTTTGTCTGACTAAAACTAGATTTTCTACTTAAATTTTTTTTTTATCAAAATTGACTTTTTTACTTTCAAAGTTTATTCTGTAACTAAAAACTAATTTATAACATGAAGATAAATTTTTTACAACTAAACTACTTTTTTACATTCAATATTTACTGTCTGATAATAACTAGACATTTCTAATTTTTGGCTGACTAAAACTAGTATTTCTACTCAAAAAATCATTTCTGTAATTAAAATGTCTTTTACTTTTATCAAGTAGTTTGTCTGACTATAACTGGATTTTCTACTAAAAAATTAATTTTTGTTTATCTAATCTGACTTTTTAACTTTCAAAGTCTATTCTGCGACTAGAAATAAATTTGTTACTTAAAAATTAATTTTTTTACAAGTAAACATACTTCTTTTACTTTTAATATTTACTGTCTGACAATAACTAGATATTCTACTTAAAAGGTAATTATTTTTTATCTAAATTATATTTTTGCCTTTAAGTGTATTTTGTCCGACTAAAACTTGTTTTTCTAGTAAAAAAATCATTTTTGGAATTTGATTCAATTTATTTATTTTAAAAATACATTTGTTACATAAAAATAAATTTTTTTACTACTAAACTACTTGTTTTAGTTTGAATATTTACTGTCTGACAATAACTAGATATTCTACTAGAATATTAAAGAAAAAAATACAATTTAGTTGAATAATAGTGTTTTAAGTAAATTATATGTTTTCCTTTGAGTGTGTATTTCGTCTGACTGAAACTACGTTTTCTACTAAGAAAATTTATAATTTAACTATAATTATCTAAGAATTAAAAATTAAAACTATTAAAAAATGGGGAACTAACTTTATAACTATATAATTATACTATTTAAATTTGAAATTACTTGGAAAGAATTTCGATTTTCAAAATCGGAATTCACAGTTTTTCTCCAGATATAAAATTGAGACAAAAAAAAAACAAATCAAAAGTGTTACGAAGCAACGTTTTGATTCGTTTTTCGTCTCAATTTGATATCCTTAGAAAAAACTGTGAACTGAAAAAGTAAAACAAATAAAATTTTCCATTAATATAAGTGCGAAAAAAAGGAAAGTAAAACAAATGCATACTTTTTATTAATGTTAATTATTTACGACACAGAAGAAATTCGCATAAATTTATCAGTGTGGCACTTTTTTGGCACATACACAAAAAAGAAGATATAGACACAGAAATATATATACTATACCTATCGATTCTATATGTACATGTAGGTTATGAGATATTCAAGCGTATTTCAATTAAAAATTTGCTCTGCGATGCGCGAAATGTTCAAGAAGAACCGATACTGAAATGAGTAGACACGAAGGGAAGATTGACATGTTACAAACAAAATAAAAGTGCTTGTCAATGAATGAGGACATTGATAAATGTGGTATGTGGAGTAAACGTTGCCACTGTAATTACTTTTTCTGTATATGTAGTACCAAGCAAACTTTGTATGCGCAAAACGAGAATTTTACTACATTCAATGCAAAAATTTTATTTCACGTTTGATTAAAAAAAAAAAAGAGAGAGAGACAAACAAAAAAATTCACCACAAACACTTTTATTAGTAAACTATTTTAATTAAATTAGTGAAATATTCTTACAGAGAATTTATAAAATTATATTATTTTAAAACAATGTTATTTCAAAAATTATAATGCTTTTTAAAAATATGTTATTATTAATGTATTGTTATATAGAACTAAACTTATTTAACCAATGGGTCGAATTAATAAGCTGTAAATTGTTAATTTACATCAGGGAGTCGATTAAGACTAATAATAACTAAGAGGTTATTATTATTCAATTAAATCATATTTTTCACTTTAAGCGTACATTTCGTCTGACTAAACCTAGATTTTCTACTTAAAAATCAATTTTTTTTATCAAAACTTAATTTTTTTATTTTTAAAGTTTATTCTGTGACTAAAAATAAATTTGTTACTTATATGTATTAATTTTTTTACAACTAAACTATTTTTCTTTTTATTTCAATTAAATAAATGTCTTTTACTTTTAAAAAGTAGTTTGTCTGACTATAACTAGATTTTCTACTTAAAAATAAATTCTTCTTTATCTAAACTAACTGTTTTACTTCTAATGAGTATGATTGATTACAAATAAATTTTTTACATTAAAATTAATTTTTAATAACTTTTAACAATTAATTTTTCATTTCTTAAAAAAAATTTTAAATTTAAATAAATTTGTTACTTAAAAAGTAATTTTTTTACTACCAAACCATTTTTTTACTATCAATATTTTTACTGTCTAGCATTTTTGATGAGTGAAACTAGATTTTCTACTTTAAAATTATTTTTTGTTTATCTAAACTGACTTTTTTACTTTCAAAGTTTATTCTGTGCCTAAAAATTAATTTATTATTAAAAAAGTAATTTATTTGCAACTAAATTTATTTTATTTATTTTTTTTATTATATTTTTGAAATAAAATTACCATTTTTTACTTTATATCAGTATTTTGTCTGACTATAACTAGATTTTCTACTACAAAATCAATTTTTTTGAATTAAATGGGCTTCTTTTACTTTCAATGAGTATTTTGGCTGACTAAAACGTACATTTTCTACTTAAAAATTAATTTTTTTTATCTTAATTCTATTTTTGCCTCTAATTGTGTATTTTCTCTGACTAAAGCTAGTTTTTCTACTAAGAAAGTCATTTTTGTAATTTGATTCAATTTATTTATTTTAAAATTGCATTTCGTCTGTCTAAAAACAGATTTTCTACTATAAAATCAATTTTAGGAATGAAAATGACTTCTTTTACTTTTCAGGAATATTTCGTCTGACTAAAACTACATTTTCTACTAAAAAATTATTTTTTGTTTATCTGAACTGTCTTTTTTACTTTCAAAGTTTATTCTGATTGAATAGAAATAAATTTGTTACTTATAAAATAAATTTTTTACGACTAAACTATATTTTTAATATCAGTATTTACTGTCTGACAATAACTTGATATTCTACTTGAAAGGTCATTATTATTTAACTAAATTGTATTTTTGATTTTATGTATGTATTTTGTCTGTCTAAAACTAGTTTTTCTACTAAGAAAGCAATTTTTTAATTTTATTCAATTTATTTATTTTTAAAATACATTTTGTCTGAATAGAAATAGATTCTTCACTATAAAATCAATTTTTGGAATTAAATTGACTGTTTTTACTTTTAATGAGTATTTTGTCTGACTAAACCTAGATTTTCTGCTTAAAAATAATTTTTTTTTTATCTAAATTGACTTTTTTACTTTCAAAGTTTATTCTGTGACTAAAAATTAATTTACTATTTAAAAAGTAATTTTTTACAACTATACTACTTTTTCTACATTTAATATTTACTGTCTGACCATAACTCGATATTCTACTTAAAAAGTAATTGTTTTTTATCTAAATTATATTTTTGCCAGTGTGTATTTCGTCTGACTAAAACTAGATTTGCTACTTAAATATCAATCAATGAAAATGAAAGTGTAAATATAATAAAAAATCTGTCAAAGTGAAAGCAAAAATAGAAATGAAAATAGAAATCTATTAAAATGAAAGTGAAAATTAAAGTCAATCGAAGGGAAAATGAAAGTAAAGTGGTATAATAAAATTTTATTAAAGTGAAAATAAAAATGCGGCTGAAACTGAAATTTGAAAATGAAAGTAAAAATAGAAATGAAATTCTATAATCGACCCTCTGCGTATTTAATAAAAAATTGTTTACAAAAATAATTATAATAAATAATGTTTGTTTGAGTTTCAGTACCATTTGCACAAGGAGAAACACTACTGTTCTCGAAAGTGACGAGAAGCGAAATGGGCGCTTATTTATGTATAGCAAGCAATGGCGTACCACCAACAGTCAGCAAACGAATGATATTACAAGTACACTGTAAGTAAATTTTCTCTCTTAATTTAAACGAAACCTAAGAATAATTTTCCCTATCCTCATTTGGAAATTAGAAAACTATTTTTTATTATAAACTTATTACGATAAAAATAAATTATCATAAAATATACTCAGAATTATCCTTATAATTACTCTGTAAATTTGAATTAATAAAAATGTTTACTAATTTAAATTAGTAAACATTTTCATTAATTTAAATTTTTAATTTCAAATTTTATAATTCAAACAATTATTTTTATAAAGAATAATCCTTAAAATTCGCTTTCAAAAGAAGCGAACTTTAAAGAACTGAAAAAATGAATTCTTTCAAAAAAGAAGTGAGAAAAATGAGAAAAATCAAACTGCCAATCAACAAGGAAACAAAAAACCGATAAAAAATAAATTTAACCAAAGAACGTGTTGTGTTCCATTGATTACACCCGTATAGAGATAAATTCAAGATGCTGAATAAACGTCAAGGTTTTTAATTCTTATCTCGAGCTATAAAATAAAACACTAGAAAACCGTAAAGTTACTTGTAGGTAAAAAAAAAAAAACAAGTATCGAGAACCATACAATTTAAAAGGAAAACTTTTTATAGATCCCCTTTTTTTTCTCTTGAGCATTTTAAACGCGCAGTTTGAAATATCGACACACCGTGGAGGTAAGAAAAAAGTTTTTCAAAATTAAGTAACGTCTTAAAACAAGATGGTCTGATAAAAATGAAAAAAAAGAGAGAGAGAGCGCAGTGAGACTGAAAAGAAATAACAAAAAAAAAGAAGAACGAGAAAAAAAGAAAGAAGGAGCAAAAGACTTGAGAGAAAAGAAGCGTGAAATGGTCGCGAGCGAATGAGTTTTTGCCAAGTGGAATAACATTCCACGATAGTAGTAACTGCCGTTTCTAGTCAGACGTTACTGGTTCGCATCCGCAGTTATGGACTACTTATAAAACGCTAAGTTTAATCCGACAGAAATCATTGTTATGACCCGCAGGCCCTCCTCGTAACTGCTATATACTTTCAACGGAAAATTTTTATATCGGTTATTAATATTATTATTACGTCTGGACGAGATTTATAAAAACAATTTTTTTTTATTTATTTTATTGCTTAACATTCGAATGCGCCAATTGTTATATTTTTTAGTTTCAACTTTTGGATTTTTTTCTATTTTTTTAACTCTATTTTTACAGTTGACACCAAAATTTGATTGTCTCTTTTCTTTACTGCCAGACAGAATTTTTACTTTTTTCCTTTTTAAACTCAATTTTAAATGGAATAAAACAAAAAATTCTTTTTAATTAGAAAAAAATTGTTGATCAATAATGAAAATTAAATTAAAAAATTCTTTGTTAACGACAATTGAATTAATTATACATTAATTTTGAATTCAGGACAAAATGACCTAGTATGTTAACGAAAGGTTAGATAAAATATTCAAAAATTATTAATTTCCGTAGGAATTAAGATTTCCGAAATATTTCAAATTCATTTTTTGAAATTAAATTATTTATAACGATCGCAATCGCAACTCTTCAAAAATTCAATTATTCTTTTCACGTTTCAGTAAAATTATTCACTAAATATTTTATAAATATTAAATAATCATTTTTAAAAAAATCTTTAACAATTAAATTATTAATTATTAATTATTCTATTAATTATTATTAAATTATTTATTATTATTTTGTAAAGTTCAAATTTTGTCAGAAAAAATTTTAGGTTTTGTTTCAAAATACGTTTAAATTTCGAAGTTTATAAGATGAATAAAAATTGAAATTCAATTATTTATATAACGATCGCAATGAAAGTATTTCAAGAATTGAATTTACAACAAATCAATTTTATATTCTGTAAATTTTAAATATTATAGTAAAAAATATAAAAATAAATCAAGATGTTGTAGTAAAATTCAAAATTTAGAAATTAGAACGTAAACAAAAATTGAAATTCAATTATTTACAAAAACTACAAACGCAATTTTTTGGGAATTTAATTATCTTATGAATTTTAAAGTAAAATTATAAACAAAATAATTTATAGACAATAATTTTATAAAAGTTTTTTGAGAATTGAATTTAAATTAAATTCCACATTTTGTAAAAATTAATTATTAAATGGTCAAAAATATAAAGATATTCAAGGTTTCATATTAAAATCAGGAATGATTTCAAAGATTATAAAGTAAAGAAAAATTCAATTATTCATAATAATTGGAAACGCAACTCTTTAAAAATTCAATTATTTTTTGAATTTTTAAGTAAAATTTTTGGATAAGCATTTTATAATTAATAGATAATTTGCAGAAATTTCTTGAAGAATTGAATTTCAAATAAATTCAATTTCATATTCTGTAAAGCTCTATTATTGTCAAAAATATAAAAATAGTTCAAGATTATTTATTAAAATATTAATTTCAAAGTTTATAAAGTGAAAAAAATTGAAATTCAATTATTTATAAAAATTGCAAACAAAACTCTACAAATATTCAATTACTTTTTTTAATTTTCAAGTAAAATTTTTCCTGAAATAAGTAAATAATAATTTCATGAAAGTTTCGCAAAAATTGAATTTACGATAATAATAATAATAATAGGAATCAAGATTTCCAAAAATTTAAAATTCACTTTATAAAATCCAATTGCTTATCACGACCACAAACGCAATTCTTTAAGAATTCAATTATTTTTTACATAATACTAAATAAAATTAATAATTAATAATAATTCTGATTTTTTAAAATTTAATTTTACATTGAACTAATTTTTTTAAATGTTTTAAACTTTAATTAAACTAAATAATTTGAATACTAATTTTTTATTTAATTTTACTAACAGTTACTATTTTAATCAATAAAAATTTTTAAAAAATAATTATAATTTGTGTTTGAAATGAACTAATTAAATATAAGCACTTGAAAAAAAATTGTTTAGTAATTTAAAAAAGAGATAATATACATGATATTTATTTATTTGAATCATAACGGGACAGACATTTCTCTTAAATAATAAATAAACTCCACGGCTGACTAAAACCGATCCTCACTACTAAATGTATCATGCGGCTGACCAAAGACAAACTTTAGTACTGAAATTTTTATCATTTTCCGACTATTCAAATATTTATTAATTTTGCAAATATACATTTTAACACCAGATTAATAATTCTTTATTGACCTTGTTTTGAAATTCAATAATTTAACTAATTTAACAATTTAAACAATTTAATTATTTAACTAATTTAACTATTTATCTAATTTAACTATTTAAGTGATTTAACTATTAAACTAATTTAACTATTTAACTATCTAAATAATTAACTAACTTAACTTATTTAACTATTTAACTAATTTAACCATTGAACTAATATAACTATTTAAGCGATTTAACTATTTAGCTAATTTAACTATTTAACTAATTTAACTATTGAACCAATTGAACTAATTTAAATATTTAACTACTCTATTTAACATTATTATTTAACTAATTATTATTACCTACTCAAAATAAAAAGACTTTTCTCTCGCATTAATTTTCCATTACAATTATAAAACAATAAGTTTAAGCGCGACAAAAAAAATTAACTTCAAATTTCAAAAAAAAAGTTTCAATTTCAAAACACGTTGAAAGTTAAAAAGAAATTTAAAAACAATTAAAAAAGTAAGATTACGACAATTATAATAGTGCCAAAGTAAGGAGTACTCATTTAAAGTGTTAAATTGAAAAGCATGAAGAAAAAGTCGCTTATCTAAAAGCGTGGACACTCGATTCACTCTTCGTGTTTTATTTTTTCTCTCTCTCTCTCTCTCTCTCACACACACCTCTCTAGAATGTCGATCGCAAAACGAAGTGATGCAAAGAAACTGAATGAGACTCTTCAATTATTCCAAAGGATCTTATCGCAATTGTGCTTGTGTATAGCCATAAGATTGGTGGCGTGTAAGCGTACATCCAATTTCCGGGGAGAAATTACCTTTGTGAAGATCTGAGACGCGGCAGTGAGAGAAAGGGAGAGAGAAAAGAAAGAGATGGAGAAGTTAGTCGTAACCGCAGCTTAATTCATTCTCCTAGTCTTCGAGTCTCAACTATTCTGCTAAATTCAAGAGTATAGTGGATATAGTACACCGCGAATGTAATTATATTATCTTCCCTTATAGTCCTTCTTATAAGCATTTGCTTTTTTTTTTTGCTCAACATTATTCCTTCTAACATATATATATACAATTTCTTTTCTTTTTTTCATCCACTTTTTCTTCCTTACCATAAAGGGTATTATATTTCTTTTCCTACACTTCCGTGGAAAAGAAATTAAAAAATTAGAAATAATTAGTTTTTTTTTAACTCACCAAAAAATTAAATAACTCATCCTCCCTCACCTGAAACAGAAAAAAATAAATTTTGTATTAGTATAACAAATTCAGGTCTCGGACTGAAATTAGAAATAAATTTAAGTATCAAAAGCGACATGAAATGTTTGTAATAGATGCAAATAGTCGCACATTATTTAATTGCAAAATAAAAAACACAAAAATGACAATTTAAATTACTATTTCACAGTAATAGTTATTACAGGGTTTCTATAAATTTCTCCCTATAAAATTCCATTATTTCCAGGTGATAAATGATAAAAATTCCATGACACATTAAAACAAAATTTTTGTCAGTTAAATCAGGTAAATGTCATGAAAAAAATTTTTTATCAGGGAAATTAAGAAAATTGAAACTTTTTGTTTCTTTTCTTCCAAACATTGCAACAAAATACCACAATTTTTTGTAAAAAAGTTCAATTTATTTTGATTTTTATAAGGCAACAAATAACTATAAATAAATCTTTCAAAAATTGTTTTTGAATAGTTAAAATTTTGTAAAATTTAATTGAAAATAATTTCTTTCTTTCAAGTACTTTGTTACAATTTTTGAAAATCAACTTTTGAAAAATTTTAATTGTATATTGTGAACAATATTTAATTTTTGCGAAGAATATTATTACTCTTAAAAATAATTG